TGTAGGTGAATTGCAGGTGTGTAGGTGGTAATTGCAAAAGCTGACGTGACACAGTTGAAAGTGTTGTAGGTGAATTGCAGGTGTATGGAAGATAATTGCAAAAGCTGATGTGGCACAATTGAAAGTGTAAATGGATTGCAGGGATGTGGATGGTCTAACATCCACAGACTTCAAAAAGTATTCTTCCTCACTTATTAAGTAAGATTGCCGATTACAAATAGCTGATGTATTCATTTCACTTGACACCCATAAAGTTTTAAATTTATGTTTTTTTAATATTAAAATTTTGGTTTTTTATATATACCTTTTTTGACCCCTAAAAATATATGGGTTTACCCTACGTTACAATAAGAAAATTGATTTCTTATATTTTCATATTATTTACTTAAATCCCGACTTTCATATCTAAGGCTTTTGGATCCGTCATTGATTGGTTATTATTATGTTTTTTACTGGTTAAGGTAATTTTTATTCTTTATCATGTTCATCTGGTAAGGTATGTAAATGACATCCAGTAAACACAAAGGGTTGTGTCTGATTGGTTTGAGTTTGGCTCCATAGGTCAAAAGTACTAGGATGTCTCGGGTTCAAATACAAGGAGGAATAAAAAATTTCTTGTGGCCACGGAGGTTCAAATGCAGTGACTCCGGACTATCTGCAAAGCAGGTGGTCGTTCTGAGATTAGTCGGCTCGCATAACGGGTTGGATATTCAGGTTAATAAAAAAAATGACATCCAGTAAATATTTGGTGGATGACGATCAAATAATAATTCTTATAATCTTATACCTTAAGATAATAATTATTGTTGTATGAGTAACTTTTTACAACCATAGGTTTATCAAGAACATCTTTAAGAAATACATGCATACATGCATACATACATGTGTGTAGATACATGATTAAATGAGAATCACAAAAAAATTAAGAATCGTTAGAACCAATGAGCATGTGTTCTTTCACATAGTGAAACAATACAGTATCGTTTCATAATGTATATATTTCTTACGTCTACTTTCTGTTTTTTTTAAATAATATTAAACAACACATGATAAGGGGTTTTCACCGGCTATTTTTATCCTTTTTGTGTTCTCATTTGGCTATGTCCTATACATATATGTGTGTGTATGTCTCTGTCGGGAGGGTTGTGTGAGAATAACAATTATGATGAGAATTGTAAGACCACTTTTGTTTTTGAATGAATTATTTTTTAATATAACTTTATTTTATTTCAACTACATTCAGTTATCTTTATTAACTTAATCTACTTTTATCTTCAATTTCGGTTAATTTCACCACATTTTACACATATTTATGAATTTGTTAAAGTTCCGATCATATAATAAAAATAAGTGCATAAATAAGTATATGATGTTTTGTTTTAACCTTCTCATCACAACTCTTATTTCACCGGAAACGAACCCTAAATATCTCTCATATACATACACACATACATATATACATATATATGTGTGTGTATATGTGTATATATATGGTGTGAAACTTAAATTTTGCAAAGGTAGTTTGTGGTGCCTCACATATCATGACAGGCATTCTACTGTTACTTTCGTGGATGCCGACAAATCATTCATTTTCAGAACATTGTATGCGGTCTATATATACAATATATATATATATATATATATATTTATATATATGTGTGTGTATGAATGTGAATGTAGTAGGATAACATAGATGGTGTGGGGTTCACAAATGATCCACTTGGACGGACACCTCCTATTATCCACCCATCTAAACTGTATAAACATCTAACATTCGTAAAGTGGCGTGTAGAAACTATATTACAAAGTTTAGGTTCTTATAAAAACTAGTATTGTGGAATTTTATGTGAGTTTTTAATTTGATGAATCGGAAGTGCTGTGACAATAAAAAGTGTAAAAACGAAATTCTTATACGAACCTCATTTTAAGATGCTTTTTAAATATCAATCGAATCTAGGGATGTACGAAAAACCATCAAACCACAAAATCCGTCTAACCCAACCCGCTAACAACCCAATCCGCTAAACCACAAAACCACCAACCTATCAACCCGTCGTTAATACATATAACTTTGGTAAAATTTTATTTATATCTATATATAATATACTAGTCTACTATTTTATATATATATATATATATATATATATATATAAAATTGAGTTTATGTTTATGTTTTTTTTTATTTATATGTATGGTTACCAAAAGAAATTAATCACAAAAGAATAATCACAGAGAATCTAGTACGAGAAAATTATTCGGAATGTTTTTTGCATCAACAACTAGTGGATATGTTTGAGAATATGAATAGTGTTGATAGATATTTCATTGACGAATCTATCAATCAAAAGACTCCATCATTTTGATGGTGTACTTTGGTGAAAAGAAAATGTTAATAGTCATATCATCTCACTACAACAACATTAGGTTTACAGGACGCTTAAAATGTCAAAGCCTCCTAATATAATATTTTATAAGACGAAAGAGAAAAGTGTTATAGCTAGAAGTGATTTATAACATCTTTTTGTTCTCTAAAAAGATGGTTTATAGAACACTTCTATAAACCTATCGTAACATTTTTAAATATGACTTTATAGTTTAATACAATAAACTTAAGTCACATAAAATATTATATTAAACGTTCTATACATCTTATAAAGTCAATTTTATTGTAATGATTGTAATTTGTAATGGTTTTTTCCACGTGGATTTCTTTTTTTATAATTAGTTATTTATAAACTCTATAATGTATGTATGTATGTATCATGCACGCATGCATGCATGAATTCATATAGACCACAAAACCAAATGCCATCAAGAAGTCAACAAGAATTTCGATTGACCCACGTTTCAAATTCAAACCAAATTATAGAAGTTTCCAAACCTTCTCGCATTTCCGCCATTATCACCTTTTGATTCTTGACCATTTTTCCACCACCAAACCCTTTTTATAAATATTCCATTTCCACCCCTTATAAACCCCGCCACCCTTCTCTTCAAATCATCGCCAAATTCACAGAACTGATTTCATTCAATCGATGAACCGCGGCGGAGCTTCCAGAGGCAACCACAACGACAGTCGTACCACTGGTGGTCCGACGGAGGAAGTGATCAAGTATAGAGGAGTTCGGCGGCGGCCATGGGGGAAGTTTGCGGCGGAGATACGTGACCCTAACAGACAAGGAACTAGGGTTTGGCTCGGCACATATGCAACGGCGGAGGAGGCCGCCAGAGCCTACGATAGAGCCGCCTTTGATATGAGAGGACACATGGCGGTTCTTAATTTTCCCAGTGAATATCCACCTACATTCTCCGCTGCGGCTTACAATGCTTCCTCCGCCATGTCTGCCGCCTCATCGGCGGCGGAGTCTTCTTCCGGCAGCACCACCGCCGCACACGGTAGAGAAGTTTTCGAGTTCGAGTATTTGGATGATCAGTTGCTAGAAGATCTTCTTGATTACGATAACAACAAAACCAAGAAATGAAATCTTGGCCATTTTCTTGAATCTTTAAAAAGACGAGTGAACATACTTTTCATTTTTTGAGTAAATGTTTTGAAATCAAAATGTCGATTTTAAAAATTCGACGGTTTTTCTGTCATCGATTCAAGATTTTCGAGTGAAAAACAATAAATCATAAGCGAAAGTTTACGTGGGCCCAGAATTCAAATCTCACTAGACGTTTCGTCCTTTTACGTGTTGTATCATCATTCATCAATCATTTGGTTAGATGGTTTCTAGATTCGACAATGTAGTAATAATTGAATTTTATGGATTTATATCTTCATTTTTCTTGCATTGTCGGTAAAAGTCTTTGGTTTACAGTTTTAACTGATTAATGCAGAAATCGGTTGATTCGGAATATGTATTTTATTGCTAACTAGTTATACAGGTAAAATTAAAAGTTTAACTGAAAATGGGTATTGTGAATGACATATATAAATGTTCATACATTCTCGTGAGTCGTGTTTACCGAAAAAATTGTAGTAATTTTATGGATACGTAGCATAGTGGATACATTTGTGGTTTTTTTACTAATATTTAATAGGCAAATTAAATGAAAATACAACGTTCTCTATCTTGATTACAAATAAATATATATGGCATACTTCTAGAACTTTTATTATGATATTTAAGATGTGATGTTTTAATTATTTAGACTGATGTACGTATGACAAATAGTAGTCGGATAGATTCATTGTATTTTCATGCAATCTCATGTTAAAACTAAGTACTTAAATGTTTGAGATGTTATATCTGATATAATACCAAAATTAATGTTTTTAAAATACATTATACAAAATAAATACCAATAACATAAATAAATAAAAGAGTAAATTATGGATTTGGTCCCTAAGATTTTCAATTGACATTGATTTTACCCCTAGACTTTCTTTATTACTAAAAAATCGATAAGGTTTGCATTTTGTTGTACAGTTGGTTCCTCACCCCTAATGGTTGTTAAATTCCAGTATTAAGGGGTCGTTTATCAAACACTTATGCGGTAAGCGCTTGCAGGTAATATTATCATTTACTTACCAGGTAAGATTTTACTCTATCAAAAAGACATCGTATGCAACAATTTACCTGGTAAGCGTTAACCGTGTTAAGAGTTGTCGCTCTCCCTTATCGGGTAAGATTCTTAGTCCTTGTTTTGCTTTTATAGGGTAAGATTCTTGGTTTTTACCATATATTCATCCGGTAAGGCAATATGACCTCGTAAGCAGTTACCCAAATAACACGTTTCCATCTCATGAAGGCAATTTTGTTATTTTATAATTGATTTCATTTTTAATATTTTTATTGGATATTCATCATCTCTATCTTAATCATCAATAACATATGAACAAGCAGCTTACGTAAATGCAAGAACATATCACACTTATGCAGAATTATTCATTCAAAAACCAGTGCAAATTCGAAAAAATCATTATAATATATTCAACACTTGTGTAATACAGTTTCATTTCGACAACCAGTCATAACACCCCAATATCAAAAATCAAAACCCGAATCACATCGGATACATAAGTAAAGAGAAGCATCAAACTTAACATGAAACATTTGTTAAGTAGGTAAATGTACCACCACCTTGAACTGATCAAAACTCAACATAAAACCGTTGTGTTAACCCACCATCAGATTACATATCCGCGGCAAGCTACAACGAGACACAAAGATACGGCAAGCTATGACCACCCTGATACAAAACTACAACTAGGGATGCATTGCTTGATGTGTTGTTGCGGATGAATGAATCTTCATAGTTGGAGATGGAGATAAGGATACATAAAGAAAGAAAGAAGTCAGGAGATGTGAACATGCTCATGTCGATAGCGATAGCGATACGGGCTTCTCCAAGATTTAGAGACGTGTAACGGGTGGGTGTTCAAGGTTTTTCTTTATATAGAAATGGTAATATAGAAGGAGATACTAAAATTACGGTTTTGCTCTCATACTTAACAGAGGGTTAGACGGTATTTAAAACAAATTGCAAACCATGAAAGCTTTTCAATAATAAATGAAGTTCCAGGACCAAATCATAATAATCCATCAAATTACAAGGACTAAATCCATAATTTACTCTAGAAAGAGTAGAGTACATATATATAAAGTATAAACTGAAGTAAGATTTGGAAAGGTGCATGCATTCAAACAAAAAGCAAGGCTGGAATGTATCGGGACCCACCAACTTCCCAATTGGGTATATGCTTACATTTCAACAATTTCAATTAATTAAATCGATAAAATTAACTACCTATTTTTCTTTCTACATTTTTAATTTACAAAATTAAGTATCCTATTTAGGGATGGCAAAAAAAACCGAAACCGATGGTGAAAACCGAAAACCGAAACTTTCGGACTGGGTTCGGGAACATTTTATCGGGGATGGGACGGAGATTTTAACGGGGACGGGGACGGGGGCGGGGACGGGGACGGTGATCACCGTCCCGATATGTATATATATATATATATATATATATATA